ATGTGTGGAGCCGAGTCGTACGATGCCTTCTTCGCCTCCGGCAGCCGTGAAACTGATTCGAGTCGCCATTGCCTTTTGCGGCCGTTCGACCAGCCTGCCGGTACGCACCGTTACACTCACCGGTGCAGGCTGGGGGGGTGTGGCGGCACAGGCGGGGAAGGCTCCATATGACATGCGGCAAACGACCTGAGGCTGCGGCGAGTCACAAGGCCGGCGAAGTCCGCTCGTTGATCCCACTGCCCTGGGAGCCGGGACGCAACTGCTCGCACCGCATCGTCGAGGCCGAGGAAAAGGGGGAGAGCATAGGCTCGCCTCACTCCTGGCATTGCTGCCGTGCAGCCCATCTCGATCGCAGGCAAACGCGCGGCTTCCGACCGCCATTGGTATGAGGCAGAGCAGACCATCTCGAGCTCTGAGCGGCGAGCACTGGCGCGGAGCTGGAACACCGGAAACGGGGGACATGGCAGCGGTGGATAAAGCAATAGTACGACCCAGATGGCCGGGAATACCAAGAAAGCAAGGTTGAGAAAAGGTCCAAAGGGCGGCTTTATCTGCCGAAGTAGAGCGTATCCCTGCGCAACGGCCTATAATTGGTGGTGAACCCCTAGGGACGAATCGACGGCGAACCCGGTTTGGCGGATGCGCGCTCGATCCGCGGATGCCATCTTCCACTTCCGCGAATCACCAGGGCGGCCGTCCAGGCGCGGGCGCGCCGTCATGTGCCGTCATGTGCGCGCCGGGATGCAGCTATAGCCCCGGCCGCTATACACCTCGCCGGCGACGAGGCGTGCTGACTGAGGATCTGAAAGAGAGGCGGCTGACGGGGGGCGGCGCATCGGTGGCAGGGCAGCGGCGCAGAGAGGGCTGCGCCGCAATGCAAGATGAAGCAACCTACCATGTGCGTGATTGAGTGCTGATCATGCCGGGGAAGGCCACCGCGTGCCTTGGGCAGGCTCCCAATGCGTGGCCATGTCCGGCGGGAGGGCGGGGCGTGGCGCTGGCGCTGGCGGCGGAGGATCTCGCGGACGGTGGGTGAGTCGGAGCTGCGGCAGGCGGCAGGCGGCCAGGAGCAGCGTCCGGACGGTGGATGGAGGAGCGCAAAGACCCAAAGAGGGAGGATTGGGATATAAAAAAAAGCGCCGGGGAAACGAGCGGGAAATATGGTGAGTGCCGATCCGGCGGGCGATCTCGGCTGCTCGCTGTCTCCTGTTCTCTTGACGCGCCTAGGGATCCGCCCGGGCGGTGCGCGGCCGCCGTTGCAGCTGCGGGCGCAGGCCGGGGAGACCTGGAGGCGCGTGGGAGGGCGGCGCGGTGGGCGAGTGCCCGGGTTTTCTCAGCCGGCCAGCAGCGTGGCAGCGGCGGCGGCGGGGGGGGGGGGGGGGGGGGTCGTCCGCCTCACTGCTGCAGCACGGATATGCTCTGGCGGATGGCGGCAGCGGGAACGTGGCAGCGGTTGCACGCTCGCGCGCCAACGGCGAGATCGCGGGGCTTATGTGAGCGGGCAATCTCGTTCGAGCGGGCTCAAGGCCGTGGCAGAGTGCCTTGCATCAAGCATGGCTGCAAGGTCCCAGCAGCTCCGCAAGCCGCCCGGTGCCCTTGCGGGTAGGATCACCGCGCGGAAGCCGTTGGCGCTTCGCTGCAACGGCATGACTTCCGCGGCCCACCGCGTTTCAGGCCTCACGGAGTCCCAGTGCGCCGGTGTGGGAGCCCCATGCGCCCTCGAATCCGCCATACAGAGCCTTCTGCACCCCCGCCTAGCGCGAAGATTGCGGGTCGACGGACAGGGGCGCCAGGCCCGTCGTCTGCGCCCGCCGGCCGCCATCCAGCCGGGCACTGTGCAAGCAAGCGGCGGAGGCGAGGCAGAAGCAGAGACAGCCGCAGCCCGCAGCAGCAGCAGCGGCAGCAGCAGCAGCAGCAGTCGTTGCGGCGCTAGGCGTAGGCGTGGGCGCGAGCATGCATCCTCCGCGTCGGAAGCGAAGTGCTTAAATGAAGCCGGTGCGACACGCGCTCGAAATGAGACCTGTCGCATCCGCGGGCTGGTCGCGGGCTGGTCGCGGGCCGGTCGCGGGCTGGTCGACTATCGCGGTGGCGCCGGCGTGGAGCATGCCTCTCCCCAGGCCTCGGGCTCGTGAGAGAGAGGGCGAACCCCAAGCGCCGCTGTGCTGGGTCGGCTGGCGAGCTAGCTGACGACTGCCAGGACGCCTAAGCGCACCGAATCACCACCACCCCTTGACGCGCGAAGCGGCGAGGAGCCAGCTCCGCGAGCACCGCGGCCTCATGTCCGCCAGTCGTCCTCCTCTCCCGCCCAAAGCGGACCATTGCCCCGAACAAGCGCGTGGTGGAGCTGCTGCACCCGCCTCCGCCGCGCCCGCCTACTGCTAGCGCTCAGCCTGGGGCCAGCCCTCAGCATCATCTCCGCCGCGCAGCAGCAGCAGCAGCAGCGGCGGCGGCATCAGCAGCAGCAGCACCGCCCGCGACAGCAGCAGCTCACCGCCAGCCACCGCCATGGAGTGCAGCAATCTCGCGCGTCCGAGCCCGCAATCTCGCAGCCGCCTGAGCCTGCACCGCCGTTTCAGACAGACTCTCCGCGCCCGCACGTCTTCACGCCGCGACCAAGCCTGGCCCGGGAGGGATCGTTCGCCCGCCGAGTGCGTGCTTCGACGTGCCGCACCGCAGCCGCAGTTGCCGTCGTCAAACCCAGCGCGCCGGCGCCCTTGCAACGGAGCAGGGCGCTCCAAACGGACAAGGCGGGCGGCTTTGGCCGCAGGACGCACTCCCCTCGCGGCGCATCTCGGCGGAATCAGATCAGCGATGACCGTCAGCAGGGCGAGCAGAAGCAACGCGCCTCGACGCTTCGAGCACGCCGTCCTAGCCTGGGTCCTGGCGGGGCGGCTTGCCGCATCCACCGTGGAACCCCGGCCGAGCATCCCCGTCGTCGTTTCTTTTCCGCGAAGAGCCCTCACCAACGCCGCGCGGTGATCGCTGCGGTCCGCCCTGGGAGATTGGTGTCAGCCGTGGCCTGACTCAGTAGCACGCACCCGCCCAAGACCCATCAGGCTGGCGGTCAGCCATGGTTTTGTTTGTCTTTTCGTGCTACGTACAACGGCGGCCTGTCCGTATGCATGTGTTGGCAGATATGAAGCGTCGTGCGCCGCTGAGAGCTGGCGCGCGCCGCCCTCTCCACCCTCGCCATCCGCGGATCTGGATTGAAATCGTTCCAGCGCCCTGGGTCGCACCTGTGCTCCAAGCCGCCAGCGCTCGACGGGCGAGCGAGGTAAGCTTACAGTGCGCCCCTCGCGCGTGCGAAGGGACAGACCACCGCCACGCTGGAGGTCGAGGCCGGTTCGCTTATTAGTATTGGTTGGGGGATGGAGGGCGAGATCAAACTCTTGTCCAGACGTCACCGTTCATCGCACATCCTCTCCAGCGTCCCTGTGCGATGGTTCCGAGCCTTGCCAATACCGAGGAAAGCGACCTCGTATGCGGTCCGGGACCGCCATCACGTTCTTCGCGCGTAGGGGGGGCGGCGGCGGGAACGACGCCACACGTCTGCCTAGCCCGAGCGTGCACACGAAATCTCGACGACGCAAGAGCACGCAGCTGCATGGACGGCACGCGCGTGCGGATGGGGTGGTTTGCTGGCCGGCGGCGTGCTGGGATGGCACGCATGGGCTGTCGGGCCCGGCGAAGAAGCTGCTTCTTCTTCACGGACGAGAGGGGGGGTGCTCCTGGAAGGCAGGACTTGCTGCTGAGGCAGGCCATGACTGGCCGCCACGAGCATGTCGCGCCGTCTAAACATGATACAGGTGGCGGCGTGGGTGGTCGCGCGGGTGCCGTGTCTACCTGTCGCTCGGGTCATGCAGAGAGACAGGCTGAGAAGAGCAGCCGATTGGCGGTGAACGGCTTGCGAGCAACGAATGGTGGCGCCGGGCTGGTGTGGCCTGCCCGACGCAGCGGAGAGCTAAGCGTCGCATCGCAGCGCCGGCGGGGCGGCCGTCGCGTGCCGGCCGCAGAGGCGTGGAGCAAGTCGGGCTGGCAGCTGCGCGGCGCGGCGCGGCGCGGCTTTGGCTTGGACGCGCTCGTTCAGCGGACGGCTGGCTGCGTCGAGGTCGAGCTGCGAGTCGTGGTGGCTGGCAGTCAGTCTCCAGAGGCGTGGGCGCACTACCGCCGCGCCGGGGCTCCTCGCGTTGGCCCACCGACTTTCAATTTGAAGGCCCCCCTGCGGACCCGACGCTCTGGGATTGGGACTCCTCTCGCGCTCGGCCTGGGATTATTGCCCGCCTGGGAAACGCGGCCGCGACGAGGTAAGGAGCATGGGCGGAGCGCCTCTTCATGCCCAGATGCCATGCCCAGCGCGACTCGCAGGCGCCCGCGCCCGGCAGCGCAGCGTACAAGACACGGCAGATGCGGCATGCTGCACTGCAGGGCTATCGAATGACATAACGCATAAAACTCGCACAGGCAAAGCAAGCAAAATAAGGCCCGCGCGGCCAGATGCCCTCGCACGCCCGCTCGTGCACTCGCTTTGTGTGACGCTGCCCGCTGCCCGGTGGTGCCCTGTATAATAGTTAGCCCGCAGCACGACCCTGGCTCCGCGCTGCTTGCTTGCCTGCTGCCCGCCCGCCTGCTTGCTGCTGCTGCTGCTGCTGCTTCCGACCGTCACTACGAACAGGGTGCCGCTGATCAGCCCTTGTCCTGTCCCCAGCGCACCACACGCCGGATCCGCACCAAGCTGCACACCTCAGCGTGTGTGCGCGCGCGCGATAATTACGGAGCGACAGTCAAGTCAAAACTCCTGTCCCTCCCATCCCCACCCCCAGCGCCAGCAGCTTCCTAGCCGCTCCAGCAGCATTGACCGGCCAGCCCGAGCTCTCGGAGCGTTGCATCCAGTCTTATGACCCGGCCCTGCTAACCGCCCTGGCCCCATCGTCCGCTTGACATACCTCGCCCGCCCTCCAGCTTCGCAGCCCGCAACCTCAACCACCCCCCCAAACGTCCCAATGGTCACGATGGCGTCGAACGGGTAAGTCCCAGCCGCTCCCCCTCGCTCCGCAGCAAAGCCCCGTACGTCCACGCCGCTTCGCTCGCGAGCGCTGTTCTCAGTGCTGCTGCTGCCGCCCGCCGCCGGGTGCGAGAGAGGCGCTCCGCCGGCCGGTGCCTGCCCTGCTGCTCAGCCCCCCCGCGTCTGGCTTGCGCAACGAAGCTGCATACCTCTCCCGCCGCCACGACGCATGCCTGAGCTGACTCCATGGCCGCACAGGTTAGTAGTCGCTATTCCGCAGAATTACACGGAAAATGGCCGCCTCTATCACGGTTATCGAAGAGGGATTTACATGTACCCGTGCGACGAGGTAGGTCCCCTCCCCGCCTAGCTACCCCCATTGGCTGGCTCACGTCTCACGATTTGCAGCAAGAAAAGGACCGCATGGACATATTCCACAAGCTGTTCCTCGTGGCCCGCCGCGAATCGCTACACCAGGCGCCGGTGGCGCCCATGTACCAGCCGCGCATTCTCGATCTGGGCTGCGGGACAGGAATCTGGGCGATCGACATGGCCGAGTAAGTCGTCCTGCGTGCCGTCGAGACCCGCATGACGCCCGCTAACGCTCCTCGCAGCAAGTACTTGGATGCCGAAGTGAGCTATGCCGCCGGGTGGCCCGGAGATTTTGTTTGCTGACGTGCGTCAAAGGTGCTCGGTTTGGACCTCGTGAACATCCAGCCTGACAAGTATGCGTGCCCCTTTCGTTCGCTGCGCGCGACCAGAGCTGACATGACGCCCCAGGATTCCGCCCAACCTGCGATTCCGCGTGCCGCGCGACTACGAGAGCCCCTGGTCACTGGGCGAGGATTCCTGGGACCTGATACACCTGCGTCTGGCGGGCGGCAGCGTTTCCAGCTGGCCCGAGCTCTACCAGAAGATATTTTCGTACGTCTGCGTGCCACCGGGCAGGGCGAGCGCGAGCTGACGTGGGCAGACACTTGAAGCCTGGCCAAGGCTGGATCGAGCAGGTCGAAATTGACCTGGAACCGCGCTGCGACGACGGCACGCTACCCCCGAACTCACCGCTGGTGCAATGGTACCAGTACGTGGCGGACGCGACGGAGCGCGCGTCGAGGCCGCTGGCCTACAACCACAACACGAGGCAGATGCTGCAAATGGCGGGGTTCATCGACATCCAGGAGACCATCATCCGCGCGCCGTACAACTCGTGGCCGGCAGACCCGCACCAGAAGGAGATTGGGCGGTGGTACAACCTGGGGATTTGCGAGGGACTGGAGGCGCTCAGCCTGGCGCCCCTGACGCGCATCTACCGGTGGGACGCGGCACAACACGTCAAGCCGCTGGTGGAGCAGGCGATCCGGCAAATACGGACGAAGAAGATTCATGCGTACAACAACATGTGGGTGCATTCCTTGGCTGGTGGGTTGCATGGCTCGGCTGACTTTGCATTAGACATATCTGGACTGCGCGGAGACCTGGACACTGAAACCACACAGCCCGGCATTTTCCGCAGGATTTGACGACCTTATGACGACCGCAGTAGTAATACCTAATGTACTATGCATTACTCCCCCCCTGGGCTTCGGAATGTTTCCAGTCGGACAGAATTGGAGGCGTGGTGGTTGGCAAGCTCCCATTTTCGGCCGAATCGATATTTTAGTTGGCGGGCAGGACAAGGAATGGACGGGATGGACCCTTGCGTGGACTTTCACCAATGGCGAGCTGGGGCGGCGTGTTCCAAGAAAGCACCGGCAGATTCGTATGCGCACGGCAGGCCACCCAATACCACGGCGCACCCTCCATTTTCTCAGCCACCATCTCGCGCGCCCCCACAGCGGCCAGAAGGCAAGGCTCGCACGCTGGTTGGACACGTCTCCTGCTACACTACACCTTCACGCCGGCGGTCTGGAAGTCAAATTTGAAAAAGTAAGAAAAAGAAACTAAAAAAAAAAATTGGCTGCGAGTCTGGTATTTCCATTGGCTGGACTCGGGGTGGGCGGGCGTTCTAGGAGCACGGCGTGGGATCGGTCATCTCCTGCCTCGTAATTTTTCTGTGTTTTGGTGTACAAGAATATTGGATGGACGAGTGCACAGGGTGGGGGCAAATGCGGTGGCGGCGTGTGGATGGTACTATCTTCTTCTTCATCTTCTTCTTCCTCTTCCGGCTTCCTGTTTCTAGATATATCACGGTGTGAGCATTTCCGCGTGGGATCCGTTCTTCATTCTCTCCTATTCTCATTTTTTTTTTCATCTTCTGTCAGCATGGTGGTCAGCAAACCGGGCCAGGGCGGCGAGCTGCCTTTGTTGGACATGACGGGGGTCAAAAGTTGACGAGCGCGCGGAGTCGCGGCGAATTTTAGCGATTTATCGGTTCAGTCTTGTCGATGCTTCCACGGACCTGTGAATCTATGCCACGGCTCTGCGGACTGAGGGATGACGCTTACACATGCCGTAGGGCGTTTGACCCCAGCTTTTGGCGCAGCTGTCTTTCCCGTCGCTAAGCGCTGTTCGCTCAGCCGAGGTCCCCGGCCACAAGCTCCCCCAGACGGAGCCCCGGTCTAGGTATTCTGTCCTGAACAACAGCTCTCTCCTCCACACAACACACACACAAACACCCCCCTCTACCCGAATCCTCGCAAACATGCCTGCCTTGACCAAGATCCTCCGCCCTGCCCTCCGCGCGACCTCCCTCGCCGCTCGCCCCGCCGCTCGTCGCGTTGCAGGCGTGCGCATCGCTCCGCAGTAAGCTTCCCCCAAGCTTTCGCACGCATGTGATTGCCCGGCTTCCCGCACTGCACTGCACTGCACTGCAACAACGCCATCCCAGCCCCCAACGCGCCTTTTCTCTCCGCAGGACAGCGGGAAAACAGCATTCTCCTCCGAAGCGGCAACCACGCAGCAATTTGTCACAAACGAGTTCTTTTTTTTCCTCTTAGCTAACGCCCCGCCGGGGGTGCCGCCAGCAACAATGCACGGAGCATCTCCTCGACGTTACCCCGCCGCCTCGCCGCCGACGCGGTCGACATCACGGACATCCCGCCGACGCCGATAACGCACCTGTCGGAGACGGAGGCGCTGATGGCGGACTCGGTCAGCAAGTTCGCGCACGAGGTGGTGCTGCCGCGGGCGCGCGACATGGACGAGGCCGAGGCGATGGACCCGGCCGTGGTGGAGCAGTGCTTCGAGCAGGGGCTGATGGGCATCGAGATCCCCGAGGAGTACGGCGGCGCCGGCATGAACTTCACGGCGGGCATCGTGGCCATCGAGGAGCTGGCCCGCGTCGACCCGAGCGTGTCGGTCATGGTGGACGTGCACAACACGTTGGTGAACACGGCGATTTTGAAGTATGGGAGCAAGGCGTCGCAGCAGAGGTGGCTGCCGCAGTTGGCGACTGGGACTGTTGGTAGGTTGGACTGCGATTGGGGGGAGTGAGAGAGAGAGAGAAGAGCGCGGATGGTTGACACTGTGTGCGTGTGGTTGTAGGCTCCTTCTGTCTCTCCGAGCCCGTCTCCGGGTCGGACGCGTTCGCGCTCGCGACCAAGGCCGTCAAGACGGACAAGGGCTACCGCATCTCGGGCAGCAAGATGTGGATCACCAACAGCATGGAGGCCGGCTTCTTCATCGTGTTCGCGAACCTCGACCCCAGCAAGGGGTACAAGGGCATCACGGCCTTCATCGTCGAGAGGGAGGACGCCGGCTTCTCCATCGCCAAGAAGGAGAAGAAGCTGGGCATCCGGGCGAGCAGCACGTGCGTCGTCAACTTCGATGACGTCGAGGTGCCGGCGGACCGGCTGCTCGGCAAGGAGGGCGAGGGCTACAAGTACGCCATTGGCCTGCTCAACGAGGGCCGCATTGGCATCGCCGCGCAGATGACTGGGCTGGCCCTCGGAGCGTGGGAAAACGCCGCGAAGTGAGTGGGAAAATTTCCTTGATTCGAATGATCTACGCAGGGCGTTCATTTCGCCCCCACTGCCCATATGTCATTACCATCTTTGCTCTCCAACCCCCTCCCCGCCGCGGCCACACGGAAAACGACAACCGCGGTGTTATGGATTCGTTACTGATTCACGACGGGGGGCAATCCCGGGAATGGCTGGGTCCCCACTGCGGGTACCTGTTTGCCACGGCCCGGAGTTCCTCTCGTTCTTCTTACAGATACGCGTGGAACGATCGCAAGCAGTTCGGGCAGCTCATCGGAGAGTTCCAGGGCATGCAGCACCAGATGGCGCAGGCATACACGGAGATCCAGGCGGCGCGGGCCCTGGTGTTCAACGCGGCCCGCAAGAAGGAGGCGGGCGAGGACTTTGTGCGCGACGCGGCCATGGCCAAGCTGTTCGCGTCGCAGGTCGCCGGCCGCGTGTCGGGCCAGGCGGTCGAGTGGATGGGCGGCATGGGCTTCGTGCGCGAAGGGCTCGCCGAGAAGTACTTCCGCGACAGCAAGATTGGCGCCATCTACGAGGGTACCAGCAATATCCAGCTGACGACGATTGCGAAGTTGTTGCAGAAGGAGTATACGTCGTAGACTTTTTGTGTGTTGGTAGATAGATGGCTACCCATGTAAGACTTCTGACGGGCATTGCGATATCAAGGAGTGGAATAGAGCATCTTTTTCCCACCGGCCATTGTCGTCACCGGATTTTGAACATCAGCATAATCATACCTCGCATGGACAGGTTCAGAAGTATTGCAGACCCGCAATGACCCCATCTTCTCCGTCCGTATCCGTCGGATGCATCCGCCTCTTCTCTTCCATTGAGCCCCCAGAGGCAATAATCCCACTTTTTTTTTTCCAACCCCCATCACCCACTGTGGCAGATGACCATGACGCGCGTGATGGATAATGCAAGATCCTCTCTTTTCTTTCCATGCCCCTTTTCCTTTTCCGCCGCCATTGTTGCCACTGATCAACCGAGGGGGCCAAAAGGCAAAAGCCGTCGACTCGAGACGCGGCAAGTTCGGATCACATGTCAGCGTTGTGTATGCCATTGACGCTTTGATTTCCGCTTTCGGCAAGCGGGATGGACGAGAGAGGAAAGTTGGGAAGTAAGGAAAGGGGAGAGCCGTCGCGCTGAAAAAAAAAAAAAAAACGGACTAATAAGCGTGTGGCTATATTTAAACAACAACAACCTTCCTCTGTCTTCTCAGACATTCGGATAATGCCGTGGCCGGGGGGAGTAATTTTTTCCTATTTGTCTGTCCCCCTCTCCCCCTTTTCTTTTCTCTTGCCCGGATCGTCGGTCACTGTGTTGTGGTGTGCATAAAGATTACACAAAACGGCCTCCGCCGTTCGCCGCCGCCGCCGCCGCCGCCGGTTGGATGGGGGGGAGACTACCGCTAAAGTAAGACAGACACAAGACTATCATCTGGCATATACCGCATGAAAATAGGAATCCCATCGGCGTCTCACCCGGGAGCCCGGTTTTTTTTGTGTGTGCTTCTTCGCCCCCTGCCCTGCCTTGCCCTGCCCTGCGGCGCTAAATCGCACACCAACCAACTCGACGCTGTTCGTCAATGCTTTCGCGCCACGTTCGAACCCTTTGTTCATGCGTGCTCACTCCCCCGTCTGGTGGATCGCTTGTTCCTTGCTAGCCAGGCACGCGGCGGCGCCGTGTTATTATGCGACGCCACCACACGCGCACAGGGACGACTGTTTGCGGAGATGCCGAAGTTTTTTTTTTTTTTTTTGACGTTCTTCTTTCCCGACGTTTTTGGGTTGCTTTGCTGTCCGCCCCGTTGGTGTGGCGGGTGAGACCGAATGGGGGGAAGGTTTGTCGACAGTTGCGGGTTTCGTGGTGTTTTTGATGTCGTACGAAATGGCATTTCCCACGCGGCAGTACGTTTAATGCATTTCGATATGGACGAGTGGCGACGGCAGAGCCCGGTGAAAGTAGGATGGTGCCTGGTAGTAGGAGACCACCCTGGGAAGGGCTGCACATGCTCCTAAGTAGTGAGCATTGCAACAGCGAGGAACACATGTAATACTAGTGTTGTTGAACAACCCGCTTGCGTATTCTTCGCTGGTGCAAATTTCCAAGTCAGTACCCCTAGTCGTTCGGCTATTAGGCGCTCGTCATTATAGACCATGCATGCCCAGCTTGACCAACGTCTCTCGTATATTCTTTGTTGTTGTTGAGTATACTTGCATGATCGTATATTGAGTCGAAAGGTCTAGAGCTGGCTTTAATGTATGGCCGGAATCTGGCTTGACCGAGGAGCTCGGAAGTGCTTCTACCCTGTGCTGTCGTACAAGCGAGACTAGCGATATGTACATACGTACATGAAGCTATGGCCGCGCCGTCTTGTCGCCAGAGGTATGCAGCATTGGGCAATGGTCCGGGCCAGCAATGTATTGTGGAGGGCCGGGCTTTGTCTGGGGGTACCTCCGGGATATGAAGTTAAAAGAAACTACCACTTCACAAGTGCAGCATCGGTATAAATGAATAGACTCGGCTTATAGTATTATTGAGTGCTACGTGTATTGGCAGCTGAATAGAATCACACCTGAGAATAGGTTGATAAACGACAGTGATCTACTGACTTGAGAAGTGGAACAGTGTGCAGAAAGACACCGACAGTGAGGAGAACACATGGATCTGAAGACAGCGAAACAGGGCCATGATCCGTAAGAGTGGGGGTTTCCTTTTGTTGTAAATGGAGGACGAGTGAAGTCGATTATGATATACTACCTCGTACAATACCGTCCATGGAGATGAGCGCCCCGATCACCATTGAACAGCTCCTCTCGGAATTCTATCGACAAGGTGGGACACAGTATGCATGGCATTACATTACTCCTCTGTCACCAAGCACGTCTCTCACAATCCATTAAGAAGTGAAAATACAGCCGGCAAGCATAGAATACGCCGAAATCGCGAAGTGCATCAACCAACCACTAAGCGCCAAGAAGAAAACAAGACCAAAAACAAAGCGTTTTTGAGACCATATCTTTTCTCTCTCTCTCTAAAGTTTGCATACCCGTCATCCACAACCAAAAGCCGCGGCAACCCTGCCCCCACACTCTCAGTCAGCCGCGCGTCTACTGCACGTTAATTGTATCACACCACTCACTCCGCCTCTCGCCTCTTCCATTTCGCCCTCCCGGCCGCGCTGTCTTGATCGATCGCGATCTCCCACGCCTACATTGCTCCACTCGAACAAGCCTGTGTCTTCGCTCGTTCGGGGGGTCTCCGCGCACATGCAACAACCCGGAAGAAGAAGAGGAGAGAGAGAAAGAGAGAACAAAAGAAAGAAAGAGAAGAAAGCCCCCTCCCCCCGTGATCGAAGAGTCATTCCTTCTTCCGCGCGCGCGTTCATCATGTACGCTCAGCAGGGCCGTTCCCTGTCCGCCGCGTGCGTACGTGCGCGCGCGTGCGCGGGTGCGTGCATGCTTGCATGGCGTGTGGGATGCGCAGGGAGAGAGTAGTGTCGCCTTCCCAACAAACGACAGAGCTCGTGCATATATGGCCAAATGCAGAGTATATGAAGTTTTTTCCAGGGAAGGCCATGGACCGGGGGGTGAAAGATGAGCCGGGTGGGTGGAGAAAGGACTTGTTACACTGAAGCATGGATATCAGACCCACAATGACTAATCAGTGGGGAAGGGAAGAGGGCGAAAAAAAAAACAAGGGGAAGGAAAAGAGGAAGAGAAGTTCATGGGCAATCGTCTTCTCCGTCCCCGTTGCGTTTCTTGTCAACTATCACTTTCTTCCTCTCCCCTCTCTCCTGGGCCAATGGCTCGGCTCGCTGTGTTCTGTCACAATCCACAGATCAACACACCCAGTAAGTAAGCGACGCGAATCATCGATCGACGGCAAGACGAGCAGATAGGCGAAAAAAGAAACGAACAAACAAGAAAAATGCGTCGCCAAACAAGCGAGTCCCTTGAAGCGACGTTAAGGATCCGCGGCCCGGCAGGGAAGGGGAAAAAGAAGGCACAGACGAAAAAGAGGCTTCACCCCGTCTCACGGTCCCAATGCGTAGAGACCAAGACGACAAGGAGGGAGAGGCGCGCCGAGCCAAACACGAAAAGAGGGGGAACGGGGAGGGTGCCGGGCATCGAGAATAAGACCTGCAGATTAGACAGCGTACATATGTAAGTCGGTGGCTTTTGCTTTTTCCTTCTTCTCTTTTTCCTTTCCCCGGTTCTTGTGTTTCGTCGCTGATGGAACACCCTTGGCCATCATGTATAGCTGACTGAGGAAACGGGGGAAACCCAGAAGATTAAAGAAAAGAAAAAAAAGCAATTAGCTACCTGCCCCTATTCATGCAATCCGCCTGCCTCTCCCCCCGGTCGACCATTCTGTTGAGAGGAACCGAACAGCTAAAGAGGCGAAAAGGAAAAAGCAATGTGAGCGCCTGCAGTAGCTTGTCTGGGTGGACTCATCATCACACGAGTGAGCGGAGACACAGTGGGTGACGAAAGAAATCGGCCCGCCTACATGGTCAGCAGAATCCGATATCTGGACGCATTCGTATCGTTTCAATGCTCGTATCTACATCCGGATATCTGCTTTAGCTATTGATGAAGAAAGGTCGTCGCAACTTACATCTACGTCAGCATACTTGCTTCAATTGCCCACACGAAAGATCGCCGTAGTTCAGTTTCTTTTGTCACTCACTGTGGAGACGTCCCGGGAGTATGTAAGCGATGTGGTGATACAAACGGGAACGGCAGAAGAAAAATCAAGGAAGGGGAAGAGAAACTGCGTATATGCATGCCTGCCCTCCCTGCCCGTGCGCGGACGCATGCATGTCATGGAACGCTCAGACGCGACGACGCAACAAGCGGGTCCCCCAGAAAAAAAGAAAAAAAAACATCAAGGTCAGGTTTCGAAGAGGAAACAGAAAACAACCCTAGCCCCGGCCTGCAGGACTTGATTTGCCTGAAAGATCAGATGTTGCTTCGAGGTAAACACCGTGGCACAAGGGTAGAAGAGTATGAGTGCACATATCGACATAACAACCGAAGTATGACGCGAAAATTCTCCCCCCTACGACAGAGATCAAAGTGGCAAAAATATGACAATGAAGAAGAAGAAGAAGTAAGCAGAGCGGATAATAGGACTAGAAATGGGGAAGAGGGGTATCGAACAAGTCCGCGATCCAACACAGTGCCAACCAGCCGGCCCGCTATACGAAAATAAATAAGAAGCACACATAAGAAGCATCCCAAGCATCCAAAACAAAAACTTTCCATCCTTTTGCCATCCCATTGTCCCTGTAACCCCATTCGCCCTCCCCTTCAGAGTCCCCTCCCCATCCCCCACTCTATACCCGGACCCCTGTTGCATCTGAGACACACGCTCATCCACGTTGAGCCGGTCCACCGGGCCGGAGACTCTCGCTCCCACAACGCCTCTGGGGGGTGGGGGCCAGCTTACCCCAAAACGGGCCACATCGGGCCTCATCACACCGCAGCAAAAACGCTCCTCTCAGGTCTGGATGACGACATTGCCCCTCTGCACGCTGTCCTCCGGGAAAAAGCCAAAGACCAGCCTGTACAGGTCCTTGAACCAGCTGAACTGCTCCGCCCGGCTCATCCACTGCACAGCCATCGCCACCTCGGCAGCGCCCAGCCTCCGCGACGGGAGCTGCGCGGCAGGCACCCGCATCGTCGGATCGGCCAAGACCAGCTTCTTGTACGACGACAACAGGTCCATCTGCCAAGGCTGCGACCCGAAACTGTTCGAGGGGAGCGACTTGACAAACGCAGGGAGCGTCGTGGCTGCGGTGCGCGTGTAACCGGCATTCATGGCAGCCCGCAGGATGAGCGTCTTCAAGCGGATGAGATGGGGATCTTCGCGGCCCGCTCTTGCCGTCGAGCTGGAGCGTTGCGATGACGTCTCTGTGTAGCCGGACAGGATGGATGCCGACGAAGACCAGCGGTTGTGCGTGCGCGTCGTGCGGTTCTCCGGCCCCAGAACGAGGATGTTGGGCACGTTGGGCTCGTCGGGGGAACTCTCGGCGACGTCGTCGAATATGGTAGTGGGAGTCTCGGGCGGCAGGGAAATGGCACTGTGGAAGCTCAGATCCAGGGAACGCTCTGACTCGGTAACCACGGACCGACCGCGCTGACTTGACCCATGCGCATTGCTGTAGGAAGGAGCTGTGGGGAACCCGGATTGACTCGGCCGTGGAGTGCCACGATCAGGGCGGATCTGGGTCCATCCCTCGCGGAAGAGGTCACACAGCTCCCAGCAAGCTTGAACGGCGGACCCCAGGAGCTCCTCATCCGGCGGTTTGCCGTCCCGGCGATTCTGGCGGATGCTGAACAGCATCTCAGCCAACGACCAGCAAGCGCGCAGCAGCGAGTCGGTCTCCTGGGGCAATGAGGTCCGCTGTTTCATTAGCCGGTGGCAGAGCGTGATGTAGAAGTCCAGGGTCCGCTCGCGGAATGCCTCGGGCAGGTTCCGGTCGGCAGTGTTGTACAAATGGTTGTTCAGCTCGAAGCTCACCCGGAGCACCGAATCCGACGCCTCGTCGACACGATGCCGAGCCTCGAACAGCGCCTGACAAAAGTCACGGCACAACTCCAGGGTGGGTCGCACCTCGCCAGCCGAACCTTCCTCGCGGCTCTCGTACAGCTTCTGGCACAGCCGCCAGCACGACTTCCACGCCTGCTCGCCCTGGTCGCCCAGGCCGGAGAAATTGAACATGCGCTCGCGGTGGATGGAGCTCAGGCCGGCCAGGGTGTTGCAGAGGGTCCAGCACTCGGTCAGGGCGGTCTTGAGGGCCTTGACCTCCTGCTCGGCCTGGTTGAGGTCCTCGAGAGCTTGGCCCATTGTCTGGGGCTGGTCGGCGTCGGTTTCGTCACCATCGCTGAGCTCCGTGTCCAGCTCCGACTGCGAGTCCAGCTCCGATTGCGCGTCCGTCTCAGCTATGTCTGGAGAAGAGGTGAGCATGTGGGGTACAGGTACGGCCAATGGACCGGGGAGCGCACCTTCAAGCCGGCTGTTTGGTCGGCTCCGCCGCTTCCGCTCCTCGTCGGCCTCCTGTCTCGTCTGCGCGCGTGGCGTGGTCCTGTCATGCCGGCTCGGGACTGACGTGTCGAGCGTTGGCGGGGGCTCGGACGGAGCGGCGTGCAAATCATCTGCGGCTGTGTGGGGCTCGCCATGCTTGCTATGCTCGCTGTGGTCGCTGTGGTCGCTGCGGTCGCTGCGGTCGCTGCGGTCGGCATTGGGCTGGGCTGGCGAGACGACGGTCGTGGCCGAAGTGTCGGTGTTCTCGGTGTCGGCGGGCGACTGAGCAGTGAAATGCTGGTAGCCGGGAGGGGCGTGAATGACGGACTGCGGCTGGTCGTCCGAGTTGGAACGGGCGCGGACGGTGGTGTCGAGCTGCAGCTGGGTCGACGGGGCGGCGGAGTCGGGCTCGCTGTCTTGACTGCTCATGCTGCCATGGCTGCTGCTGGCGGTGCCGTCCTGCGACTCATCGTCGATGTCGGTGGTGTTGGTGGTGTTGCTGTCATTGCTGTCGACGGGCGAGGGCTCGACGGTGCCGTACGGCGAGGGCGGCGGCAGCGAATCGGACAGGGTGTGGGCAGACGACGAGCTGGTTGGCAGGTCGGGTCAGCGTCAGTGCGGGCTGGGCGGGGGGGCGCTTGCGCTCACCGGTTGGAGGAGTGGAAGTGCGGGTTGAAGTTGGCGGGCGAGGCGGGCGAGTCTGTGTAGGGACTGAAGGCAGACTGGAGGCCGGCCTGCTGCTGGGCTTGGGAGGGCATCAGTTGAGTCGCGGCGGCCATGCTGTTCTGTGACACGGCGGGTATGGGGTCGCGCGCGCGAGGGGGCAGCGGCTCCGGGCGCTGGCTGCTGGACGGCGTGGTTGGCGCTGGGGCTGGGGACGATCGAGGGGCGGCGGTTGGAGGGCGGGTATGAGGCGGGTATGGGCCGGGGCGGGTTTAAGGGCGAGGCGATCAGGCTGGGCTGTTGCGCCCGTCACGTTGGTGTCGCGGACCGAGGTGGCACAGTCTGGTCCTGGGCAGCTCACAGAAGCACACGTTTGCGCAGCTCACAAGCGGCCAGCTTCTTTGCGGCCGCGATGGCGATGCTCAGCAGAGATGCGGCGGGGCGTGGTGCGCACTGCCATAGGCCTGTTAAGCGCCGGGCAAGCCCCAGCGCCCGGCCAGCACGGCCTCCCATTGGGCGCTCGGGCTCGAGTTAAACCCAGCTGTCGGTGTCGGATCTGCCACGATGCTGCGCTCCCGAGTCGTGCAAGGCCACAGGGCTGGCAAACGGATGGCCGGCCACTGCCTGCGCACCTCGTCCTCCGTGTGCCGTGACGCCGTCTGACCGCAGTGGAGCGGTCGTCGTCGACGGCGCTGCATGCACCGTCACCCACACCGGTGAGCCCGCTTCCCTGCGCGCCGCCAGGCAGCGGCGAGGCTGCGGCGTCCCAGGGCCCAAACCACCACAGCTCACCAACACCTGGGTCTCCACCACGGCCGCCCATTCGCGCGGTACCCGGCGGTGGCGCCCTCTTCGCAGAACCCGTCCAAGCTTCCACGCTTCCGTGCCGCCTGCGCCGCCTTCCCGTGCGCGACACGCGCCAAACGACCCTCTCCCTCGCTCGCAGCCTGGCCCCGACTCGCTGCGCGCCGCCATGAGCTGCTCTCCCCGCCCGCCCAGCTGGTTCATCGGCCCGTTTCCAGATGGGAGAGCTGCTCAATCCATCTGCTCCCGCAGCTGCAGGATCCACCGACGCGCTTAACGAACGACACTCCTCGGTGGCTGGAGCTGGACCTCTGTGCATCGTGCGCTTTCCGCTGCTTCGCCGCTGTGCTCGCCTGTGCATGTTCCAACTTCGCTTCCCCCATCACATCTCTGACGTGTCCGGCTCAGGTCGAACACCTTTCCTCTGGCAAGGCCTGCCTCTCGGATCATGTCTGGGAGGCGCCGAGCCAAGCTTCTCCCTTCCCCAGCCTATGGCCGTCCCGGATTGACGGGTAAGCGTGACGAACCCGATTCTCTGGTATAATAAATTGTCGCAAACGGCTGAAGCCGTCGCTGGCCCCCAGTCCCAGCCGCCTTCATCGGCCCTGCGCCCGCCAATCACATGGCATCAATTGATCCTGTGCTCAACTGTTTGCAGGGGGTTCGCCGTCGATGGGTGCCGGGGGAAGAATGAACAGGTCAACCCGTGGCCGCCTTGTCTTCTACCAGGTTCGTCCAGAACACTTGAGCCTCAAGCATCCATTCCCCATGTGCCCGCCCTGATCTCGTGGCACCAATCGGCACTTGCAACCCCTCGGGTTCCAAAAAGTTCGAGACCTTTGCTGATCGTCAACCGGTGTGAGGCACTCTGCAGAATCGTAAGATGCAACGGCAAAGCTTGAGCAAACCTTTCATTGCTCCCACCCGAAGACAAGAGAAAGTCTTCTGCACTCGGGGAACGCGCCAAGCTCGACCCAAACCAGGTGACGTGAAGAACCTACTCCGACATTCTGGGTTTGGCGACCCTCCCTTCAGAATCCTACCACGCTTTCCCAGAAAGGAAGGATAGGGAACTTGCCGAACCGACACGAAACTCCCGATCACACATCTTACCCACCCAGAATCCTTCCATCACATCCTTTTACCAGGAACACCCTCCACGAACTCCATCTTGCTCACCTTTGGTTGGTTGAGACTGACTTTCGCACGCGGGGCTTGTGAAGTCGTTACCCCACGTACAACACTAACGCTAGAGATCAGAACTAAAATCAAGGGCCCCACGCACGCATCAAGTGACGCAGCATCGTGTGCAACATTCCATCGGCCGATCATCATCGCTCGCCAGTTGGTGGTGTATAATTGTCACTTTGTTGCCTTGCTGTTGTTTCTTCCATGGCCAGCGGAATTAAAGTACGGTAAAACCAGTGAGACCGTACGGGAGCAATTAATGTTCTCTTGATGGATTGGGACAATCGAAATCATCAATTTTCCCTCAATGCAGCGTAGGCATTCCCGCCAAGTCTTTCAACGGTGGGGGAATTGCCCATCTCCTGGCGGCGTCACGCCGCTCCGTTGTCGCAGGCCGGGATGTAGGGGCAACGGACAGTTTCTCAACATCGTAAGACAGCGGTACCGAGCAAGGCAGACCGCCCTTCCCAGATAGTCTCATCCGGTGTGCTTGGGCCAACTGGCATGCATCTGTTCTAAGACATGCTCATCCTCACCAGCAATGAGCTCTCCACCACTGTCTTCGAAGTCTTCAGGCGTATGACCGTGATGAGGGGCAGTGGGAGATAACAAATGATCGGGTTGTGAAGCCAAACGGCCAGAATGACAGCAGACTCACTTATGCCATGATCAGCTTCACTACTCTTGCATGGAGCGTGGAGCTGGGCGGTCAGGGATGAGTTCCTTTTTTTTTTTTCAAGGGGGGGTTTGTTAGTAAACTGGTGTGGGGAAGAAGAACGGGAGGAGGG